ATGGGTTAGAATTCTAATTATACAACGGAGTAATCAGAACGATGTTTATGATTCTCACTCATCCAAAGAACTGCGCAGTACTTGCAGGTACTATTCGCAGTCGTTAGTATGTTCCTCGGCCAATACCACTTTTTATAGGTTTATTTTCTAAGCAGAATTACATTCTTCGGAGGATCAGCCTGTGTGCAGCAAAGTGAGGGGAAACGGCCCCTCATCTCTCGTTTCAGACATACACACCCGTCGGTGTTGGTGGTATGTCATACTGAAGGGGAAACGACTACTCATCTCTCGTTTCAGACATACACGCTCGTCGGTGTTGGCGGCATGTCATACTGAAGCCAAGAGGGCAGTGGGAAATCTGGTAACCATGACAGCATAAGGAAAGCTGTCAAAACCCATATAGTGCTAGATATGCTATATAGCCTCCTATCGATTTAGCGAATCCGCAATAGCATAGCAGCCCATATTGGTTTTAACGAGGCCTTGCCGACAGACCATCATCGCTAGAAGCCTCTGGCCTATTGCTATATAACACACAGACTCAGTAGATCGCGGTTACAAGCTCTCTTCTTAGGCCTCCATTCTCACTGATTATTTCCTTTTGATATTATTAGTGAATGAGCAAATGGTTTATTCAGGTACTTATTTTTTATATAAGCCATTTATTCTAAAGTATATAAATTATAATTCAATTTATTAAAATGGAACAGATATCGCGATACTGGGCACCTTTAATTTTTAGTAAATAGCCGGAGTGCGAGAAGAATATTACTGCTATCTCACCGGATGACTCTGGGCAAGTATCGGACCATCCTTGCAATCCCGTGATGTATATGAGTCTAGAGAGAGTCTCTGTCAGTTGACCGTTAAGAAGGAGAAGGCAGAGTACATACCGCATGCCGACACAGAGTCAATCCCCTTATAAACAATATCCTTTGAAACCTCAAGCACTTCTAGTATCCCTTTGAACGAGAATGTAGACTAGATGAATAGAATTGAATTGAAAGTCAACAGAAAAAACAGCATAGAGAGAGCGAGCTCAGATAAAGAAGAAAGGAGGAAAGGTATTGTGGCAGGAGTGCAGGAAAGCCAAGGCCGGACTAGAGAGAATTTGTAAAAGGCCGTTTTGAATAGAGCAGTGACTTCATTTAGTGTAATGCTGAGCTTGCAGACGAATAGCCAAGAGGTTGGATTCACAAAGATCGGTAGCAGAACGGAGGCAGTAATAGCATCAGTTTGGAGGGACAAGGGGTTCAACGAAGAAGACAAGACATGACACGACACATCAATGGAGCAACACGTGACTTGTTCAAACGAGCTTGCCGTCCCAATTTCTCGGCCCAGTGCGTATAGCGATCTCTAGCGAGGCATACCGCCCTATCGAGCTAGCACTATATACGACTGGGCGAAGCTAGCTAGGCAATTAGCCGCCCGTGCAAACTTTCCTGATGCAGGAGCATGTCGTAAAAGTGCCAGTCCGCCGGAGCAATTCTCCGCCGTGCTGACATGTAAGAATAGATGGCCCTTTATGTCTTCCCTCGATATCGCAACGGTATAAACTCGTATCCTAAGCTTTCTACGAGCTCTTGTTGCAGCTTGAAAGCATCCATCGTGGCCTCTTTATATCACCTACTATTGAGTCAATGCATGCTTATGACCCCCCCTACAGAGCCGAGCGTGAATCACTCTGAGAGTGGCATTGAATTGAATGCTATGCTACTGTCGAAAACTACGGTATGCATCCTTTAACTCATATTATCTACAACTTTCAGTCATACTTATGACTCTTTCTATGGAGTCAAGCATGAATCATTTTGAGAGTGGCAAATGCTATGATAGACTGTTGAAAACTGTGATATACATACCTCAACTCTTTGTTTTTCGCAAATTTCAGTAATGCAATGTATAGTGACTCCTGGAGGGCAGCTCTACTGTCACTATGGTATGACTATGTGCACTTAATAACTCACTTACGTGGCTTTCTGTCGATTCCGAGATATACTCAAAAGTAACATACATAGTCATAATAAAGGAGTATCATTTAAAAATATATGAAACCCATGTCTGCATAAATACAGGCCAGCGAAATGTCTGTTCTAGGGGAACCACCAGTCACTCAAACCATCCAATTTCTGAATTCAACAACTAATTTGCAATCAGCTTGCTAATTCCTTCCAATATCTTCGAAAAATTAATCCAGATGAAGTTTCACTCATAGTCCTGAATGCACCTCTGAATCATGAACTAAACCATAAATTACCTGTAATGTAAACGAGTGAAACGCAGGACCCAGCTTGTTTATTATAAGGACTCAAACGAGGTAGGACTCTGATCTGTATACAACGTATACTCGTGCTCCGAGTTTGAAGTCCACCCACAGCAGAGCCTCGATGAAGCTTCATTAAACTCCCTCTCCCAGAAAACTTATGGATTCAAATAATAAGCCGACAATAAAACATAGGCGAAAACAAATTACAATACTTAAGAAAGGACACGAATGCTGTCTATTATTTATTTCTAACAGAGCAGCAGAAAAAGAAAAAGTCTTCCATTCGCACCCCTTCAACTTGGTGTCTTGCTTCAAGTTAATCTTAACTCCCTCTCCCGCAATACTTATGGATCCAAATAGTAATGAGCAAAAAATATAATCTCACTGTGATCTACAATACTAAGTATGCATGCAAACACTTACAATAACAATATAAAGTGGGATAAAATGAAATAATCCCAGTCCAGAATAAGTATGAATGAGAAATCACCAACTCGTTTAAGACAGACTCCACCAAAAAGATTATGCACAACAAACAAACCCAACTCTACCAAAAACCCAACACACAAAAACCCAAGCACCAAAAAATATAGGAAACCCCCCAAAAGAACCCCTTCAAATAATAACCATACTCATTTCATAAACTTCTGGCACCGTAACTGTCCTCATCTGCACATCCGTCCACACAACAGTCCCAACCTCCACCGTCCCATTCCCCAGCACATACACCACCACCTCCACACTCGTCTCCGTCCCTACCACGCTCACCTCCGCTATGATTTCAGTTGAAGTTGCCTCAGGTTCAGATACCTTGGTTCTGGAGAGGACAATAGATGTGGAGGGGACAATGACATAGAGGGTTGTGAGGACAAAGGAGGTAGAGATGAAGGGGGGAGGGTGGTGAGGGTTATTGTGGTGGAGGGGAGCATGCTGGTTGTGGTGGGGTGGAGGGTGATGGTGGTGTAGGTTATGGGAAGAGCGGCAAGA